AGAATTATTTGTTTTGGATTTAGAAAAGCAACTCAAAGTAAAAAATTAAACTTTATATAAGATTTTTAAACATGCAATTACTAAATATTAAATATAATGTTAATATTTTAATTAATATTCCTAAATCAAATTCATTATTGAAATGTAAAAAAATTACTAAATTTTAAATATTAATTTAAAACATAAAAAAATTACTAAATTTAAATATTAATTTAAAACATTAATATTAAAACATAAATTACTAAATACTGAATATTGATATTAAACCACAAAATTATTAAATATAAAATTAATATCAATATTAAAATGTAAAATTACAAAACGAATTTATTATTCGTAAAAATTATACTAAATTAAGAAAAAAATAAATAGAAAATAATCAATGTCATGTGATATATGGTCATCAGTTCGTTATAGACAGATATAAGGTGATTTTCTGAGACAGTTCATTATACAGTATAGAAAATTTAATTAATAAATTCGTTATAGACAGAGATTTTTAAATAGTAAAAAATCGGGCTTTAAATCTCAGTTCGTTATAGAGAGAGGGTCGTTATAGGCAGGGTCATTATAAAGAGAGTGTACTGTAATTGAGCGCACAGTTTTTTTACTTTAAAAATTACGTTACACGGCATAAAAAATTGGTGCAACATTTTAATGTCCACCATGCTGATAAAATACCCATTTAAATTGAATTAATGTGAATGCCATTCGACCAGTGAAATTCTTTTTGGATAAATATTATTATTGATTTTTAGCACCTTCAATTCTGCTTAATTTATTTGGATGCTGGTTAATGTAAGCATGAGATCAAGTGAAAATATAATGGTAAAATAACAGTAAATGTGAAAATTTTTGCATTTTTGAACCCTGTAATATTTGGTAGTGCAAAATGCTTATTATTATTACATATGTATTACGAAAATCATGCTAGTACAAATTAATATCATTCTAGAAATTTTTTTTTTAAATAAATAAACGGAAAAAAAAATTTTTTTTTAATTTTAATTAATAACCATACCATGAAAAAATCAATAAAAATTCACAATATAAAAATAATATTTATTACTATTTTTATTATAATATTGCTATTATTAAATAACAGTAATATCAATAGTAATAATGATGATGTAAATGAGGATAACGAATCATTACTTAATAATGATAATAATAATGAATCATTGCTTGATAATAATATTTATGAAAACATTAAATTATATAATAATAATAGTTTAAGTTATTTATCAAAATTAATTGAAAGACAAAATGATTTAATTAAATTGTTAAATGACAATAATCAATATTTTACTTTTTTTGCTCCTTCTAATCAAGCATTATTAAAAAATGATTATTTACTTAAGAATGAATCTCATATTAATAATTTTATAAATTATCATTTAATTTCAGGTAAATTTTTAATTTTTTCTTATTTTAATTTTTATATGGAAAGTTATTATTATTTCTTCTAATAAATTTATTATAATTAGGTGTAATTAAATTTGATAATAAACAACACCTTCAATACTTGCAACATAACAATAATAATAATAATAATAATTTAATATATAATTTAATATATAATAGAATAAAAATTATTAAATCTAATATTGAATGTTCAAATGGGATCATAAATATTATTGACAATGGTAAATTTTATTTATCTTTGTTTTTTTGAGGTTTTTTTAATTCTTTTAATTCTTACAACTTTTTAATTTCAAAAATCTAGTTTTAATTCCACCAAAATCTTTCTCTGAAACAATATCATCTTTAAGTTCAACATCAAAATTTCATTCATCACTAAAGAAACCAAGTTTATCAAATTTAATTGATTCTTTAACAAATATAACTGTATTTATTACTATAGATGATGATAATTCATCTTCTTCAACTTCATCAAGATATCATATAATTAATAATCAAATAATTTATTCCAATGATTTTAAAAATCATTCAATTATTGAAACTTTAGATAGAAATCATTTAAGGGTTTTTATTTATAATAATGAATTTAATGCTGGTTATAATGAAGATAATTACTACTATGAAGATATTGGCTCAAATCAAATATTTATTAATAATGCAAAAATCTTAAAATCAAATATTTTAATTTCAAATGGAGTAATACATTTAATTGATAATATAATAATAACACAAAATAATGATGATAATGCAAATGATGATGATAATAATAATCCATTAACTAAATATAAAAAAAGGGATATAATATCAACATCTTCATTGCAATTGTCACCATCATCATCATTATCACATACTCCTACAAACACTAATTATAATGATGAAAAAATGGATCATAATTTAATCATTGGTGCAACTTTAGGTGCCATTTCTTCTGCTATAGTTGTAACTACAGCTAGTATCTTGTTGTATAAATGGTACCAAGCACATAAACTATTAAACAACAATGACAACAATAATAATAATTAATTATTGGGTAATCAATCACATCATATTTTTAAATTTTTTGATATGTACTTGCCTTGTATTTTATATTTATTTATTTATTTATTAAATATTTCCTTTAACTACTTAATAAACTTTGTTTATTGGAAGATATTACAGAGAGAGTTCCTTGACCAATAGCAAGATTCATATTTTACTCATGTACATGTAATAATTAAAATAACAATATTGATAAGGAAACAAGGTAGTTGTTCTATGTTGATTGGCATGGACAATAAAAACGATTTCAATAGTGTTACCATAGATGTTGACCTTTTTTATGCCTCAAATAAGATAAAATTTTGCTTCCAATATATACTTGTACAGTTTTTTTATAATTGGTTAAATATTAGGTTAACAAAATACATATGTTACCAGAATTAGAATTTAATACTGATTCATTGACCAAAGCTCTCTAATTTTTATTAATTTATTTATATAGTGCAGGACAAGCATAGATAAAATCCAATCATTGGCTATTGAGGTCTACCAATCAAAATAATTAAATCATGTGGTTTATCAAAATACAAGAAAAATGATTTGGAATACCATTATAGTGTTCCTATGAACCAAACTTCAGGCCATGTTCAAGTTTGGTTCATCAAAACTCAGTTCAGGTTCAGTTCGGTTCAATAAAGCAAAGGTCAGTTCAAGTTCAGTTCAAATTTAAAAT